CCAAGAGACAGGTTTGTCTCTAGAAGTCCAGTTGGTCTGTCTGTCCCACTTGCCTTTAGCTGTAAGGAAAGGAGCCAGGGGACAGGACATCTACTGCCTTGCGGAGATAATCCGGTGGGTCCCCACATTCCCTGGTGCACCCACTTTAGGATGGACCAGGGGGTGAGCAAGGATCAACTGGACCCAGTCCATCGAGGTGAGAGTTTTACCCAGAGTCCTGTACTGTGTCAAAGGAAGAATGGTGCACTGCCCACTTTTGGCAAGGCCTCCTTCCCACGAGGCTGCCTCTGGCTGGCCAAGGGTCCCGGGGCTCAGGATGAGGCCCTACCTGCCGTCCCAGCACCTTGCACATTTGGGGACTTTGCTTGGTGCTAGGCAGGACAATCGTGCAGGCTCTTTAGGAGGCAGAAGCACGGGCTTGGGGGACAGACCACTCACCCCCCGGCCCAACATGGCTGGTCACCACCCCTGGGACTTTGGGCACAGCATTGCGCCCCCTGTGGTAGACAACAACTGCCCAAGTGACCGTGGGAAATGGTAATGACAGTGTCGAAGTCCCAAGGGTCATGTGTCATCCTCCAGGGGCCTCCCTTGGCCAGGCGCACAGTATGGTGGCCCCTGGGACCTGTGGGTGCAGAACCGTGCTAGAAACTTGGTGCTGGTGACGTGGCGGGGGCTTTTTCATGCCAGGAGGCTGAGTCCTTTCCCCTGCCTCCAGCAGGAGCAGAGCCAGTACTTACTCTGTGCTTCACACCACGCTTTGTCCTGCGCGGGTCGCACGGTTGCTCCTACTCCTGGACTTTTGGGCAGCAGCAGTTTGTTCCCAGCGATACCCGAGCTCAGGTGAGGAGAAGTCGGGCCAACAAACCTCTCCTCGGAGCTGGGATTCTGCTCCTTCCAAGCAGGTCCAGAGCAACAAGGACTTAGGTCCTGCGAGCTGAGAGGTTGGGGCTCCTCGGGCCGTGCTCTGCCCATGGCTTCGCTTAAGGAGAGAGGGAGAGGTACAGGGAGACTCGTCCCTTGTCGATGGCAGCCAGGGCTCACGTGGAAGGGCACATCCCACCCACTACACAGGCCCAGGGCACACGCCTGGTGTCTGCCCCCGGGCCTGTATGCAAACAGGCTTTGCATAGCCCAGCATGTTTACCAGGGCTGAGTGTAATTGCCAGCCTCCCTCTACACCTCAGCACCCCCTCAGACCCCCAGGCCCACATCTTGGGAGAAATTAGCAAGGTGACATTCAGTCGTCATCATGGAAAGCCCAGAGCCTGCCACCAATCCCGAGCACCCTGGCATGGCAGAGGGGGTGGGGCCGCAGCACGGGGAGTAATTGGTGAACCCGAGGTGAATGAAATAATTGGAAAAGTGAGGTGTGAGTTTGTTACCGGAGTGTGAGCATGGTGGGGGTGGGGAGGAGGGCCGTGTTTAAAAGCCTGGTCTGTCCTCTTTATTCACGGCTTCGGATACAGTAATTGCTATTTTGTGGTTCCTATTATCTACACAGTGGGGAGCGAGCGTCCGCATCCCCCGGCGCAGGGCTGTGCAGGGGAGGAGTCCCGGGTGCACTGTGGCTTCCTCCCTCGCTGGTCCCCGTGGGCCTGCCCCACCTCACCCCAGCCCTGGCCCCTGGCTCCCCAGGGAGAAGGGCTCATGCAAAACTTCCTTCAAAGGGCGCTCTTAAAAATGGCCCTGCGGACCTTGCAGGCAGATAAGCCCTTCATAATGGCTGGTGTTTATACATCGCTTATCTCCAAGGAGCTAAAGGTACTTCATTGATTTTGGGGTTTTTTTTCTCCCCAACCTTTTTTCCTCCCTCCTTTTTAATTTTCTTGCAATCTCTCTCTGCCATCGCTAGTATAGGCCTCATGTGAGACCTCGCCTGGTCTCACAAGAACCTGGGCTCCTTTGCTGTCCAGCATTCCCAGCACCAGGACAAGAGCTCCCATCTGGGCTTTGAGTCCCCAGGCTGTGGACACAGGCAGTCACTTTGCATCTCTGGCCCTTGGGCTTCTCATCTGGAACCCAGCACTGGTCCCCCAGCTGTCGTTACACCTGGAAATGCTGTACGTCAAAGACCTAGCACTTGGAAGGCACTCCTTGGGGGCTGGGGGACGGCAGCAATGCTGGGTCCTGAGGCCCTGCTGTGCATTTTGGGAAGAGGCCACAGGTAACCGGTGTCCTTCAGAGGTCTCTCCCTGGTCCTCCAGCTCCTCAGCACCAGCTCCTGTTCCACTCTCCCACACTCTCGTGGCAATGAAGGAGTCTGCCGTCCGTCCCTGTCTCCCTGAAAGCTGCCTGTGCCTTTCACATACCACATACCTGTCTGTGTAGAAGCCCAGACCTCCCCACACTCCAGCAGGCTGCGGCAGGCCGCCCAGGTGCCCATCCCTGCCCGAGATCTCTGCTGGATCCAGAGCATCTTTCTGTCACAGGTTCCTCTGCCAAGCTCTCAAATGCCACTTGTGCAGGCCACGGAAGCCCAGCCCCTCAGCCTCCTCACCGGCTTCTTTCTCCACCTTTTAATTATGTTCCTCGCCTTTCTCAGGACCCTCAGCTGCTTACCATGCACAGAGCATCCACAGTTTGCAGTGTGCTGCAGAAGCAGGAATTAACCTCAACGGCACTCTCTCTCCCTCTCCTCCTCTCGCACACGCACACACACACATGCACACATGTGCATGCACACGCACAGAGCCTGGCTCACCAGAAATTACATGGGGCTGAAAAGCTGGGCAGAGGGTGTTGAGCCCGTCACACACCAAAGATCAGCTTCCTGTGGGCAGAAGGGCCTGGGCTCAGTCTCCCTCTCTTCGCTCTGTGGTCCTGGGTTCCCTGGGTCCCTGGGAGTCTGCATGGGCCTCTCCTAGCCACCCCTACATGGCTTCTGCTTTACCCAGACGAGGCCCGGCCTCAGGAAGACAGGAGGCTCAGCTCCTCAAAGTGACCAGCCCCCTGGGGGGGGGGGGGGGCAGAAAGAAGCCGAAATGCGCATCGGGAAGTGAGCTGGGGCCGAGGTTCCCTTTCAAAACCAGGCCCTTTCTAGCAAGAACCAGCCGCTGCCTCTGGGCTGCTGGAGACTCAGGGGCAGTACCGCTGGTTTGTGCCCTTCACATTTACCCCAAGGCCTTTTTGTTCTCGCCCCTTCCTCCTGGGCGGGGCGGGATTTACCAGTGGCCATGTCTCCCTCCATTCTGTTTGCTTGTTTGTCTGTTCCAAAAATATCCCCAGGCATCCAGGCAGGGCTGGGCGCAGGGCGGGGCTCCCTGCTGCTGGGCCACCAATGAACAAGACAGATGTGGTCTCTACTGCTTGGAGCTCAGTCCAGGCGCAGGGTAGGCAGGGAAGTTAAATAAGCGCTGGCCCCACAGTGCCCGAGCCAGGGCACCAGGAGCCCTGACACTGCATAGGCAGCACCCAGCCCAGCCCCAGGGAGGTGGGAACGGTAGTTCCCAGCTATCAGCAGAGATGGCCCTGGGGGCCAGGCACAGGGACCAGCAACCCTGAGTCCCAGGGGCAGCCTAACAGCTTGGAGCCAGAGACCGTTAATCTGAATGAACCTAAGGCAGACCTATCCACCCCTCACTGCCCTCCCTGGGAGGACTTCCATGGAGGAAGAGGCGGCCGTGTGTCTGTCGTGGGCTGCGTTGGCCTTTAGGTGGCAGAATAAAACAGCATTTGCAGGCTGGGCCCCTGTTGTTCTCCACTGTCACCTCCTCATGCCACCTGCCCAGCCTCTGGTCCCCAACCCGGGCCCCTCCTCTGCAGGGAGGCAGGGAGACCATCAGGGCTGTGCTCTGCCCCTTCCCTTCTTCCAGAGGCTGGCCTTGTTGCCTACGCCTTCCCAGTGGCCTGTGCACAGGAGACACAGGGCGGGGGAGCAGAGCTGCTGGGGGAGCTCCGAGAAGACGTGCGGTTTCATTTTAAGGACTCATAATGCTGCGCCCCTGCTCCATCCCGCCCGCAGAAATTGGGCTGCCAGATGCCTGGTCATGCTGGGGGGCTGCGGGTTAACGCCTCGGATTTAGCTTATATCATTTCATGAGCGCTTACAGCCTTTACTGCGTTTTTTACCCAGTCGGGCCCTGGCCCCAAAGCATCCCAGAGCGATGTGTACATGTGTGTGCGCCCAGGCAGCCGCAAGTGTGTGTAGATTTTCAAATAAAGTACTACCTCTCTTCAGATGCCATGTACATTAAATATTTATCGGCAGCAATTTGCACGTAGAGATTTGATAAATGGACGTTAGGAAGGGGCTGGGGGGTGGGCAGCGACAGGAGAAGGCCAGGGAGGCCCTGGGAAAGTGCGATCCTTTGTGCCGGCATCGCTGGGAGGTTGATTTCCATGGAGAGATGCAGGGCTTGGGGGGTCTGGGCTGCGTTCACCTGCTCGATCCCTGTTCGGAGGAGCAGGGCTCTTCTCTTCTCCCCAGCTCTGCCTGACTTTGGCTGGGCCAATAGCAGGAGAGCACGGAGGGAGGGGACACAGCGTGGGAGGAAAGAGCTGTGTGTCAGAGCTGTGAGCCCCAAAGGTACCTCCAGGTCCTAGCCCTGGATGGGGAGGTATGGTCTGCACCGCCCATGCAGTCTGCGTGTGCCCAGCTGGAGGCGGAGGAGGCTTGGAAAGGTCAGGAGACCCCACTGACCCCGTGTCCAAGCCAGCAGAACTTTAGTCCCTCAGAGCCTCTCCAGCTCAGCGACTTGAGCACAAGGCTGGGTCCCCTGGCAGAGTCACCCCGCAGGGCCAGGGAAGACAGATGGCCTCCAACTCATTATAGAGGAACTGGAGTTTTCCACGAGTGTTTCCAACCTGCTGTCCCCTCTGGGTCGTGGTCTGGGAGGAGGAGGTTGCTCAAGCACATGTGTGCGCGTGCATGTGTGTGTGCGCGTGTGTACATTGCCCCTGTGCACACTTCTTTGTAACCTGAAGGAATAAATTCACATGCAGGGGTCAGCCTTGCAGGCCCTAGTTCTTCAACTCCTGTGTTTGTCTTTCATTTCTAGCACCTTCGGGGAGCTGAAGACGGTCCGTCTGCCGAAGAAGATGGCGGGGACCGGCAGGCACAGGGGGTTCGGCTTCGTGGACTTCTTCACAAAGCAAGACGCCAAGGTGAGAAGTGGCCGCACCCCGCCGCCACGCTTCTCCTTCTCCTTCCTGGCACTTTGCGGGAGCAGCAAGGCATTGCCAGCACTGCCGCCGTTTCTTCTTTGTTCCCTGACCCTGCTAATTTTGCACAACGTAGGACATCCTGGGAAGGGGAGGGAAAGGGCTGAGGTTTGTATTTGGAGGGAGGGGCAGTGTCTGCGTCCCCCTCCCTGGCTGGGCACCTACAGGGCTCCCCTGCCTCCCCATCAGGGGAAACCCGCATCCAGGCCCCTGGGCAGGGTGGGATGCAATATGGAAGAGCATGTACAAAGGAGGGGAGGTGCCCAGAATGTGGGGACCCCCCCCCCGCTTCCCCTTCCCCTCCAAATGTTTGCTCTGGGCTCCGTCTCTGCTGATCACAAGTCGGGGTGGCCTCGGTGGGCACTGCTCTCCACAGTGCATGTTCTGTATCTCGGAGGCACACAACGTCTCTGGCTTTTGAAGCAGGGCAGCTGCTCTGCTTCTGGGCCCAGGGCCAGGCCTCGATGCCACCGGGATACTGGTCCTACCTGCTGGCATGGACATGCTTCAGTGCCTGTGTCACTGCCCTGATAGCCCCAGCTCAGAGAGTCGCGCTCCAGAGGAGGGCTGTCACCCTGGCCCTCCCTCCGTGATCTCTGAGTTCACGGTGGCCTCTCCTCTGTTGGCCTCGGTGGTGCTCAGGGACCCCTCCCTGGGGAGGTGCCTTCAGAAGAGCAAGAGTCCACAGAGTGAAGCCATGCGGGGCAGAGCACGCACCACCTCTAACACAGTTGTTGCCAGGGATTGACAAGGCACTTGCAGGGGCTCTGTCGCCTTTCACATCCAGGATCCCACCTCAGTCATGCAGGGGAGAGTGTGCCTTGCTGCCCTGAGAAACGCCTCTCTCTAAAGTAAATGCCTGGCTGGTCAGCAGCATGCAGACCAAGAAGCCAGGGTGCTACCTGTTACATACCGCATGATCAGGGGCAAGGGATTCACTTTTGGTGTGCCTCAGTTTACCCCACTGTGAACTGGTCAGGGTGAGGTCCAGATGCAACATTCCCTGGCCCTCCCTGTGCGCACTGGCTGTCAACCTTGAGAATGATGTGGTGTCCATGGTGGATGCTGCAGAAGTGAGGGGTGGAAGGAGGGAGGAGCACAGACCCTTCCGTGAGGTCAGACAGCAGAGTGGCCGATGTGACATCCAGCCTCGGTGCCACCCATGGCCCTGTGCTTGTCTTGGTTGGGCTCCTCTGCTTCTTGGGTTCCTTGCACAGCGGCCCCAGGTGCACCCAGCTCTTATACCTCAAAGGGGCACGGAGGCCTGTGGCACCCAGGCCAGGCTGGTGGGTGTTAATTCCAAAGCTGGCACAGCTATCGCTGGTGCTTTGTGAGGTATCGGCTCCTCTCGCTCCATCCTGTCTCTGCCCCTGCATGCAGCTCCATGGAGGGAAAGGGCTCTGACTGGAGCAAGGGCTCACCCTGCAGCCTTGGGGTCCTGTACTTCTTCCCCCCTGCTCTGCCGGGGGCTTTTTCTGGCCCTGCCGTCCTGCAGCAGCTTTTCCCACAGCACAGAGCAAGCAAGCCAGGCTTCCGAAAAGTCCAGCTCCCCCGGGGCAGGTGTCTGCTACAGAGATCTCTTTGCTCTTTTTGTCCCAGGGGAAGCTGCCCCTGCTCAGCCCCACACTCCTCCTGGTCACCACTGCCTGAGTGGGGAGTGCTGTCCACTGACACTCAGAACCTTGTGCTCTCTGTACGGGTGCCCAAGCTCTGAGTGCCGTGTATGTAGTCTCACTTACAGGGCAAGGGCTTCTAGAGACCCCCTGAACTTTCCTGTGTCTCAGCACAGAGGCCACTGGACCCCGGGCTCCAGACCCTGAGGAGGAGCCTCACTGGCTCACCTGATCCTGACCCTTGTGCCTTCTTGTGCCAGGTCGGGGGGAGGGGACAGGAAGAGTTTGGTGCAGTCAGGACCTCAAGGTCGCAAGCCCTGCAGGAACTTGCACTGCCCTGAGGACATGGTGAAGCCTGAGCCCAGCTTCCTGAGCTCCCTGCTCTGTACCCTCACAGCAGCTGCCGGGTCGGCTCCACTCTGGTCCTGAGTATACACTCGTGGCCTCAACCCCACAGTGCAAGACTCTGAGTCCTCTGTCCTTCCTGCATCAGACCCATGTCCCATTTCATGTGTCCCTGGGAACCCTAATGCATGGGACCTTTTCTATAGAGAGAAGGTTGTCACAAGGGCTTGACAAGGGCTTTGTAGCAGAGCTCAAAGTGTCAGGCAGCTGCCATGAATAGCAAAGACCCCGCCAGTGTGGCTTCACTCAGATGTGCTCACCACATTCACATCGCCTCTGCCCACCCTGCAGCACAACCCTCCCTTCCCAATCCCTTGGGGCATCCTCTGGGCTCAGCTCTGGGGCTGCAGCAGAGCCTGGAACCTGATGGGAAGATGGCTCGGGCTGCTACTGAGATACTCTGGCAACCCAGGGTGGGCCTGGGCCATCTGCACTCATCGCAGACACTGGTGACCAGAGCCCAGCTCAGGGGAAGCCGGATCGATGAGCTGGCACATTCTCCCAGCCTAGGACATTTTATCAGCCCCTGACGTCCCAGGCAGTAAATGTCACTCCCTGGGAAAGTGCTGGTGTTATCTAAACCTCCAGGTGTGATGATCCGGCATTTCTCCCAGATCCCACCCTGTCGATGTCGCTCCCGGCCGGCAGGAAAGACACACGACAAAGTCTGGCGGTGTGCAACCTTGCCTTTATTTGTCTCCGCGTGGGCCCCGCGAGGCCTCCTCTCTGCCACCAGCCCTTTCTCGCCGGTGGACTTTTTCTATCTCTCTCTGTGCTTTCTCTGTGCTTCTCGTCTCGTGGCGGGAGAGGCATTCACTTTTATAGGGTGACAGTGGCCAATCAGTTCAAAGCGCGCGATGCGGGCTGATTGGCTAACATCAGTTGTTGCTAGGCAGACTATCTTACAGAGCGGGTTGTTTAAGTCGCCAGCGCAATCAGGGGGCAGGAAGCAGGCGCCAACTTGACTCACTCGATGGGAGGGGCAATCTAGCTCAGGCTCCGCTCCCACCCACAGGCCCTACGTCCGCCAAGTAAGGCGACCGGTGTCGGCGGCTCCCAACACCACCCAGGGGAGCAGGAGGCAGGAGAGTGGGCGTCCCAGGAAGGCAGGGACTCGCCTGTGTGCGCACGCAGTGGTCCTGCTGCCCCAGCCCCATACCGCCTCTGGTCATGGGTGCCACACACTTCGCCAGGCCACAGCAGTGTCTCTCAGATAAAACCATCAACCTCCAAAATACCTTCCCAGGCAGCAACAATACTGGACATTGGGGTGTGTTAGCATCGATCCTCACGCACCCTAAGGACAGGCCGTAGGGTCTGATTGGCAGTTGGGTAAACTGAGGCTTAAAGTCCGGAAGTTACTTAATCAAGGTCGTATAACCCATACCTGGCAGCTAGGAACAGTTTCCTCCCTCCCTGTTCTCTTAAACTAAGAGCCACACTCTGTCCCCGAGCCCTCCTCTCACCTCGGGACAGAGTCCACCCGGTAGACATGCTCTGCAGAAGGCCCACCTGGGAGGGAAGATCCCAGGACAGTCAGCCCTTCCGGTCCACAGAGGTGCGCGATTCCCCAGCTCTCCCTGCCCCCAAGTCAGGGCTCACTCAGCCTTCTACCTGGGCAGGTGTGCTGTGGACTTCTGGCTAGGTGTACCCATCCCTGCTGGCTGAGTGACCACCAGTGACCACTGGGATTCCATGAAAAGCCTCCCCTTCCTCCCCATTTAGCTGTAGCGGCCGGAGGAAGGAGGGCCTGACACGAGAGGGAAAGGCGAGAGAATGGTCTGCAGTCCAGACCAGAGTGTCCCTTTCTCCATGCACCCGCCTCTAATTTCTCCTCCCCAGCCTGTGCCTTTGTACTTTTGCAGTGCAGCTGTTTTTATTTGCCGCCACTGCTGTTGTTTTAAAAGGTCTAAAAAAAAAAAAGGTCTATTTTCACATGGAATGTTATCCAATTAGCAGAGCAATGTGTTGGCTTAAATAAACACTTGGGGGGAGCCTGGGTGGGGAGATGGTGGCTGGCGCAGGCAGGCGTTGGCAGGCAGCTCTTCTTTCCGAGGTAAACACCAAATCCTGCGCCTTTAATTGCAGGGTCGCTCCAGCTCTCATCTCTGTCTCATTTCTCACTTGTCCGAGGGGCTGGGGCTGGGCACAGGGAGTGAGGAGTGTGTCCCCAGCCCTGCTTGGACAGTGCTGAGTGTCATCAGGACTCGCTTTGAGCCTCAAGGGTGCTGTCCACTGCACGCTCTTCACCCATAGGACTCGTAAGACCTGCCAGGGCAGCGTTGGTGAGGGAGACCTGACGGCCTCCTCCGCCTACACACACGACAGAGAGGTCGCTGTCAGGGCATAGAGGTGTGTGCTCCACACACGTCCAGGTGACTGAGTGCAGGGAAGGACCAAAGTCCAGCGTCCCGGGGATCGTGGAAACACAGCAGGGTCTAGATGGGACAGTGTCCCAAGGAAAAGAGCCGGGCAGCATCACACACGCCCCAGGCCCACATGGGCAGTGCCATGCCAGGGTCGCCACAGCCTGTGATGTCAGAGCTGCCTCTTCCCTGCTGACGGCGGGGGAACCTGGGGTCTCTGGGTCGCCCTCACGCTGACTGTGGAGGTTAAAGGGACAGGTGCGGGAAGCACTGGGGTGGCCCAAGGGCTTAGGGGGAGGAGCAGCTGGGAGATGCTCTGGGCCCGCTGGGTCCTGAGCTGTCCCTGGGAGTTGGGCACAGTTGTTCTGTGTCCCCCAGCATGTTAACAGAAATCAAAGCCAGGAATCAAGGTTCTGTCCACTTTTCTGTCCAGGTGTGTGCATGTTCTATGACGTTTAGTGCTGGGGTTTATCAGCTTGGTGTCCTCTCAGCCCTGGGTAAAAGAAAGTGTGTTTAATGACAGAGCTTGTGTTTCAAGGCAAGGACTCAGGCTCAGCCA